TATGTAACTACAATGACAAGAAGGCCTTCTAGGCTAACATCCTCAGCATCCTTCACATTCACAGAGGGACAAAAATGGCACCTGAACTCTGGATTACTGTCTTCCACTTTGTTTCTTTACTTATAGAATGAGGAGATTAAGCTAGACTAATCTCTTCAATATCTTAAATGCTGATAAATACTCTGTGAATCTAGGAATGAAGAAGAATTTCTCTATGTTCCAACAAAACCATCCAAAAAGATAGAGATAAAGATGGAATACAGATATAGGTCGGCTGCCATTGATTCAAAACTCAAGGTATTTCTCTTCCCTTCCTAGGGCATTTATGCAGAGAGGAATGTCTATCATTAACAGCAGTGATTCTCAAAATATGGTTTTAAGACACCCAGCATCAGCATTTCCTGGGAACTCTAAAAATGCAAATTCCCATCCTTCCTTCCAAACCCATCGCATTAGAAACTATGAGGATGAAGTCGGTCATTCATGTTTGAACACTCTTCAGGCCAACATGATGCATAATTCTGGTTTATAATATCGGTTTAATATCATTTGAAGGAAAATTACTCTTTTGACATTTTACACATGTGTCCTATTCTAAGTTATAATCACTTAGTAGTAATTTAGTTTGACAGACTAACCTATCTTTTAAGAGTCTGAGGAAACTGAATACTGGCAGACAACATCCTCGGGTGGCAAAATGCATAAGTTCTGGTTGCCTGGAATGTTAATAGGTTTGGGTAAATGGTAAATTGGTAGTGTTGAAGGAAATTTGAGAATGAGGAAGGATAACCAAGAAAAATATTAATATAAAAAGGTTAATTGTACTAGATGCATAGGAAGTTGATATCAGGGAAACAGTAAAGGATAGATCTGGATTCAAATCCTAATCCTTCGGTGCATTCCTTCTATGGATTTAGGTACTTACTTTCATACTCCACAGCCCATTGGTCACTTCTGGTAAAAGGCATACTAGCAATAACTAACCAGTTTCATAAAATAATGAGTTAGGATAATGAGTAGGATATGCAATGGAAATACTGTGTATATCTGTTATTATTCTTTACATAATTTCTATTTCAGGGTCAGTTTCATTTAGCAGCATCTTAAAAGTTCCACTCTAGAAAAAGGATAGATCACATATAGAAACAGATTGGAAACTTTTAGAAGCCACTATAAAAATGAATTCACCAAGGGAGAAACCAAAATATAGTGTCAGGTCTCAAGATTATAGGGTGAAGAATATAAAAATGTCTTGGACACCAGCAACACCTATCATTTCTGTTAAGTGGAAAGGGTTACAGTGGATTTCAGAACGCCAGAGGCCATTCCTCTCCCCAATAGGCATTAACGACTCATCCATATGCTGAGCCTTAGCCCTGGGGATTTGCTCAAAATCGTCTGTATTTCACAACAGCTTCAAAAGATGAGGAATCAATGACAACAGGGGAATCTGAACTACATTTTCCCTCTTCTCGCTAGTGAAGGAATATTTACTATGTAGATGGCTACTACTTTCAAACAAAAGCCCTTTGAGCATCTCTTTGGTGAAGACAGAGTCACGAGGCTTAGAAGTGAAGCAGCAAAGACATCAGTCAAGAAGCTGAGAAACAGGAGACCGACCACATGAAATGAGAAAAGCCTCCAGTAGGGACTTGAACAAGAAAAGGAAGATTCAATACCAGAGAACGGGACAAGAATGTCAACGCATAGTTTAAAATACGAATTGAATTTTTATGCAGACTTGCTCTAAACAATTTTGAGGCTCTAGCAGCCCAGTCATAGAAGCATAGATTTAATTTCCCATCTTTTGCAAAATTAAGTCTATATTGCAACTCCTTTGGTTGATCAAATAAAATAATGCACACTACCTCATAAATTGGTTCCTGTTCTAACTCTACAGTGTAGCCCATTCTTCATTAAGTTATGGGTCAAGCAGCAGTCGGCAGCCTCCACAGGCACATCCGACTTTTACCTTCTAGATTTCAAAGGAGAGGGTCTCACCTAACCCCCTGCCATGCATGTGGCAGTTTTTTAATAGATGAAGAACCCTTTCATGTTTTTTAAAGTCTTTTACAGAGTCAAAACATAAGTTTTATTCCTTTTTGTGACAGCTTCTTGTCTTTGCTACATTTGGATAGCTGACTCTCAATGCATTTAAGATTCCTAATTCCCCTCTCTATGAGGAGTCATAATATTTAAGTTGTAGATCAACTGCATGAGTCATTTGGGGGATATTGAAAATACGGATTCCATGATATGTCACTCAGATGTAATGCACCCAAATCGCTAGGAGTTGACCCTTTACTATGGAGTTTAATCTGACTCATCTTACAGAGTTGACCAGCTCCCTGGGGTTTTCCTATATTTCAGCAAGCTTCCTTGGATTCGAGTATATAGCCAGTTGGTGAATCAATGCTTTGACTATATTTGAAGAGTTCAGGGTTTAAACTGTTGAGAGTAAAATATTTTTTAATTATTCACTTTTCATTCGAAACGTTGCAGTTCATTCTAGCATTTAGCTTCCTGAACCTATTTTCAAGCTTTTCTTTCTTCTCTATTTACGTGTACATAGTAATTTAACAGTTTGAAATGACAGAAATACATAATGTAGTGAGTGGAAGTCTTGCATTTGCCTCCTTCAGACAGCCACTCCTATGGTCCTGTATATATCCCAGGTTTTACAGTAATTTCTATGAATATGTACAAGTACCTACCAACAAATACACAAATAGTGGCCCATATAGGAAACACTGATTTATATGACCTAACAATATATTGTTCTCTACTAGGAAATTTGCTTACATATCCAATGCTACATTTTGCATTGTCACATTTCATCTACAAATGGCATATGTGTTTTTGTTGGTTCTCATCATTTTTTCTATCATATATTTATTCCTGAGAATAATAGTAAGTCCTGTAAGTATGAAAAATTAACTTTAACTTAGTAGGCCCTTTATTTTTTATTGACATAATTTAGTAATTCACTGTCAGAATTTAATTTTTTAGCTCCTTTCCCCCATTAATAGCCTTCCCAAAACTTTTTAATACATATTCTGTTTTCCTTCCTCCTTCCAACCTTCCTTCTACCTTCCCTCTCAACTACCCTGTCTATTTCAGTTTTTCTACATTTATTTTAATTCTGGTTTCCTAAGCATTATAAAGGATATATATACATAAACATGTATAGGTAGAAATAAACACAAACATTTTTACTTACTTATTTACAGCTTAAGTGTATAGGTATATTTGAGAAAGAGATAATAAAAGATGATAATATTCTCCCACATCCAGTTCCTTAAAAGTTTTAAAAATAGATTCCACTTAGTTATTCACCTTTATTACTACCCTCTCAGCCCTTTGAAAATTCATTGAAGATTATGTGAAGTAGGTGATGTGCATCAAGCTGAGAAAGACATCTTGCCTGGTTCCTGCACCAATTTTTAATGTAAGTGCAGATGACCTTCATCCTGTGCTGAAATAGAAGGTCTTTTGTTGCATCAGATGCTGTTTTCTGATAACCAGGTGAATGAATGTCCATACAAGGAAAATCTTTTTGGCACACTATCATATATTCTTCCCCACTCCCAGTGTTTTTTACCATATTTATTTTTATTTTCTTCTTTGGAACCAGCTATATTTTTCCATATCCCTATTACAGGCAACATATATCATTCTCCCCAATTCCCATGATTACATATGAATTTATAACTTCAGATGAGACACTCCTACAAAGCCTAGTTTATCAGAATATTTCCTTTTGTTCAGTTTTCTGATGCAAACCATCTTTCCAAGAGTAGACAGCCTCATTGTTCTTCCCAGGAGCATCTGGTGGATTATAACATCCAAGATTCCTTTTAGCAGCCCAATGCTTACCCGATTGCCCCACGTCTTATACCTTAACAAGCCAATCATTGAAAATCCTGGCCCAGCCAAGTTGACACAAAACATTAATTATCACATTATCCAAATGCTCATCAACATGAAAATGGGTAAACACATTTGGATAAATATATATATATATATATTTACATATACATGTATGTCTACTTAGCAATATGATAGAAAGAACTGATAGTTACAAAAAGTGGGTGAACAGAAATATTATATTAATTTAAACAATGTAGTATAAGGTATATAGTTTCATTTTTATGAAATTCAAATATGAATAGATCTAATTTTGGTAATACATATCAAATAGTTGCAGTTGAATTTTCTGTGTCATGGACTTTGTTGTGTTGTGTTCTAAGTCTTAAAAAGGTAGTTTCTCAATGTGCTTTGCATAATTGATGTATGTACGGATTGTTATAAGAGGTGTATGACCCCCTAATAAAATGATTTTTTTAAAAAGGAGTTGTTCAGAACAATGAAATTATTGAATAGATCAACCCATAAATGTGGTAAATTTTTGAACGAAAATGTTTAAGTTAAAATTTTAAGTTAAATCCTTAACAAGTAGCCTGAGAATATTTAATTCAGGTGTTCTTCTGATAGCTCATTGAGGAACACTACTTCAAAGTGAGTATCCCTGAAGGAGGGCAGTGTGCATCGTAAGATTTTTTTTTTATATTGTTGGCTTCTTAATTAATCCACCACACACTCCCTTGACATCCTAGCACCATTCCCTGTGCCATCATTAAATTCCAAAAGCCAGTGATGAGCAAGATGACCATAAAATTCATCATCCCAAATAGGATATAGCTGAGTAGAATAGGAAAGAAAACCAAATGTGTGACTGCAGCGGATGCTGACTCGTGGTCACACCATGGTTGAACAGCGAGGACCCATTTCATAGGACTTTCTTCACTGTGAAGAAGCAGATCGCGAAAGCTTCAGTCCCTGGCACTCATGGGTAAATTCAAACTATCTGCCTCTACATTAATAACCTAATGCATACATGTGGGAAGCTGGGACCTGGTTTAATTCTAATTATGGAGGGAAGTGAACTGCAAAAGATAGAATGAATACAGTAAGGATATATTTTTTGGTTGTTTTTCCAGACTTATCTTATGCATGGACCTTCAATGATAATCCTTTATATGTCCAAGAAGACAACAGACGGTTTGTATCTCAAGAGACAGGAAACTTGTACATTGCCAAAATGGAACCATCAGATGTGGGCAACTACACTTGCTTCATAACAAACAAGGAAGCCCAGAGAAGTGTTCAAGGACCACCCACTCCATTAGTGCAGCGCACTGATGGTAAGATGATGAGTTATTTTGGGAATATACATTGTTCGTGGCTCTTGAAACCATGAGATATGTGGAGCTTTTCCTTCACGTTTGTTGAAAATAGTTGCATCATCTATGAGTTTAGATTTAATTGGCATATACTACTGAAAAAAATAATTGAAATTCTGTAACTGACCCACATTGAAACAGTATACATGATTTTGGGCATAGTGTACCTTCTCTCCTCTGACATTGGAATGGATTATCTTTCCTTGATAACTATCATAAAAAATAAATAAATAAAACAAAACATATATAGTTTGGGGAAGTTGGTGTGTGTGTGTGTGTGTGTGTGTGGTTGTGTATGTGCACGTGTGTATGCTGCCAAGATTATGGAATTTAAGTTGTATATTTTTAATAACCATATGATGCAGTTTTTAA